TTCTCATTAATGAAGTGCCGGTCAATTTCTACATGCTTGGTGTGATCATGAAGAATCGGATTATGAGCAATGCTTTTAGCAGCTTTAGTGTCACATAATAGCTATAGAGGACCAAAAGACTGTGATGTGTAATTCACAAAGCATGATGAGCAACCAGAGAGCATCATAGATCCCCAAAGACATGGACCAAAACTTGGTTTTAATATTGCTCCAGGCCATAACCGACTGTCTTTTGAATACAAATGTGCAATACCCCAAGTTAGATCACTGATTATGGATAGACCGACCCAATCAGCGTCCGTATAAACAACAATAGAACGGGTGTGGCGCGAGAAAAATAGACCTCAACCATGTATGACTTTTAAGTACTGAAGAATTTTCTGGACAACTTAGAGATAGAGCTCATTGGGATCATGCATGAATTGACTCACAATACTAACCGCATGGCAAATGTCGGGACGAGCATAGGCGAGGTAAATGAGTTTCCCCGCAAGACATTGGTAGTGAGTCTTGTTCACTAAAACCGTATTGGGAACACCAGATAATTTCTCATTGAAATTCATTGGAACAGCCACTGGTTTGCAAAAAAAAAGATCATTCTCTAAAATTAGATCAAGCACATATTTGCGCTGAGACAAGAAAATGCCCCGAGATGACCGAGCAACTTTCATTCCTAAGTAGTAACAGAGCGACCCCAAGACCTTTATTTCAAAGAAAGTAGCAAGAATGTCTTTCAAAGACTCCAATGCTAGTAGATCATCACCTGTGATCACAATATCGTCGACATAGACGATAAGAATAGCAATTTGGCCACTGAAAGAATGACAAAAGAAAATAGTATGATCTGATTGGGCCTTGGAAAATCCATGGTCCACTACCACCTGTGTGAACTTGTCGACCCAAGCCCTTGGAGATTGTTTCAATCCGTAGATGGACTTCCACGGTCGACACACTTTTTCCTAAGAGAAAGTGACGTCAAAGCCTAGAAGGAGGCACATGTACACCTCCTCTGTGAAATCCCCATTTAGGAAAGCATTCTTGACATTAAGCTGGAACAATGGCAGTCCAAATTCACAAGGGATAGCAGAACCCGAATAATGTTTAATTTAGCAATTGAAATAAATGTCTCCTCCCAATCAGCTCCATATGTTTGTGAGTGACCTTTGACGATCAACCATGCCTTGTTGCATTCAAAGGATACATCGGATTTGAACTTAGTGCTAAAAATCCCACGGCACCCCGTTGTTTTCTTACCTGAAGGAAGATCCACAACATCCCATGTATGACTCAGTTGAAGGGCATTCATCTCATCCATGACTGCAGCTTTCTAGGAAGGGTCTGCTAATATTGTCTCAATAGTGAATGGGAGATGATGGGCAGTAGCAAACACTTTGTAGGTCGGTGATACATTGTGGAAAGAGATATATTTTTCCATGGAATAAAAAGAGCTTGTCTGATTACATACGTCAATAGGAGAACTCACGTCCTCATTCGGATTAGCAAGTGTGGGTCATTCGGAGTGGATTCCAGGTTATGTAAAGAGGGAGCGGGCTCCAGAGTAGGAAATCGAGACGAGTGAGTCGAGTATAGACACGTAGAGTGAAAGAAAAATCAGGTTGTCTGTTGGGTGTTGGATCTAGAGACAAAGAGGGCTCTTTGGATATAGGGGTTGGAGAAATATGCACAGGAGTCGGATAAAGAACAATGTCTAAGAAATCTAACTTCCCATCAATAGAGGCAGTGATAGGAAAATGGGAGACACTTTCAAAGATGTAAACATCAACACTCACATAGAGCTTATTTGTGATAGGATCAAGACACTGATAGCCTTTTTGAGTGTAAGGTATTTGAGGAAGACGTGTTTTATTGACCTGGGATCAAATTTACTATCGTACGGGCAGCATTTCGATCGTGCAACCAAAAATTTTGGGTTCAAGAGTGGTGAAGGACTGGTTGGTAGGGAAATATGACATTAGAATGGCTAATGAAATTCTAAAATTAGGACTCTATTGATGAAATAAATGACAGTAAGCACCACATTATTCCAAAACCTTTTTGGGATATTAGATTGAAATATAAAAAGGTGTCAATTTTTTATCTCGACTACCTCATTCTATTGAGGAGTGTCCGTACACGAGCTATGATGAAGGATATCCTTAATTACCAAAAATTCACCTAATATAAAGAAAAAAAATTCACGGTCATTGTCGGTTCTAAGGACTTGAATTGACTGACATTTTTAATTGGGTCAAAATGAAGAAGTAAGAGTTTCTAAAGGTGACAACAGTATCAGATTTATCTTTTAAGATATAAACCTATATCATACGAGCGTGGTCATCAATCAAGGAAAGGAACGACCATATATTATTGTAGCTGGGAGTGCGAGAGGGTCCCTATAATTCACTGTGAATAAGTGAAAAAGGAGTGAAAAACGTGTAAGAGTTGGGTGGATACGGAACGCGATGATGTTTAGCTAATTGATAATTCACATTTAGAGCTAGTAAAATTTTTATTAGTAACATCAACGAAAACAATTATTTTAACTATTAAAAATGAGGATGACTCAAACAATAATGCAACAACATAATAGGATATTCAGTAGATCGAGAAAAACTGCAACTATTGGAAGAATTGTTCTCATTCTCTGTGTTTTTCTCTTAGATGGAGTGGAGGCTTAGCAATTTTAATCATCCTCTTCGAACGACGATCCTAAAAAACAGAAACATTAGGAGAACAATGAGCAAAACGATCAATATCATGAGTCAACTTACTAAAACATAAAATGTTACACTTCAATAGAAATACATGTACTACAGATTCCAAAGTTAGAACGGCTATTAATACAACCGACTATTTACCAACAATAAAATTACAAGAGTCGTCAACAATTTTAGTTGTATCTTTCTCGAACCATGAATAATATGTCGAGAAAATTTGAGAGCATCCAGTCATGTAGTTCATGGCACATGAATCAATGATCTATGGATTAAAAGAGTCAAAAGAAGTGAGTCATAAGTATGGTACATTGACGAATGTTGGAGGTCGACGAGATGAAAAAGATCTGACTAGATCCAAGCAGCTTGATTAATTGCTCAATTTGAGTGATTCTGGACTATTTTGAGTGGAAACTAGTTGTGTCGTAGCAGATTCAAATGTCATAGTGAGACCCTTGGCAAATGAGGATTTGGCTAAAGGTTTGTATACTGATTTTCCATGGAGTTTCTAACACTTGTCACGAGTATAGTTGGGTTTCTGACAGTAATCACAAGTGAAGCTAGTGGTTCGAGAAGGTACGGACAAGCATTGAGTACTATTAGTGACCAAGGCAGTGATTCGACTAAAGTGGATGTGTCAAGCATGACAAATCTCCAGCTATCTCTGCGTTGAATCTCTGTAAATGCAACACAAGCGGAAGGAAGGGGATCCCGACCAAGGTTACGGCCCCGAACTTCATCAAGGTCTTGTTGAGGTCTGCCAGCAATTGGAACATGTGATCTTTTTCTATAATTTTCTAAAAGAGGGAAAGATCTGTCGGAGATTCCCACGTGTAGTATTAATAATGATCACATTCCATTCATAGGCAACCAAATCATTGTAGTATTGGGTCACTGTCCTTGATCATTGTTTTGTTCCATGGATCTTCTTAGAAATCTTATCAAGTTGGTTGGAGTTCCCTACATCTGAGTAGGTATCCCAAACTGCAATCCATTGGGCAATGGTAGAATGAAGAAACATAAATGAACAACCAATCACAATCTCCATGGAGTTAATCAGTCATGACATGACCATGAAATTCTCCACTTCCCACGCTTCATACTTATCATACCCGTGAGATAGCTAAATTGCTCGTGTCCCTTGATGAAAAGGAACACAACTTAGGACCATTGGAAAAAATTAGAACCGTTTAGTTTATATGTGGTGATTAGAAAGTTCATGAGATTTTCCGGTCCTTCACTCTACAGAGAGAATGAGAACAGTGTCAACCCTCCGGAGAACTCAAGTACACCTTCGTGAGAAGGCTCGACGGTGAAAGAGTCTAACATAATTCCAACAGAGCAAAATGTGATGTTAGGTTGTCAAGACATAGGAAGCTCCTGGAAGCTAAGAAAAAAGGTCCAGAAACACCAACCGGGGAAACAAACCGACTGGAGAAAGGATCAGGCTGGCAAAAGGCATCTCAAACAGCTGGAAACATCTGCCATCAAGCCAAACGACAATCTGCACGGAGGTAGTGCGGCAATTAGGCGACTGAAGGCCTGTAGAGAGACTGGCGGAGAGTCTGGCGGCAGGAAGACAAGCCTAATGGCAATCTGAAGGGAGGCAGTACAACAATCAAGCGACTAGAGGACAGTAGAGAGTTTGGCGTGAGTTTGGCGGCAAGAAGAAATGCAGGGAGGACCTGCAGTTGATCGGTGGTAGAAATCGTGCAGGTCTTGCTATGGTAGAAGCTCTAGAGTTAGAACTATGGCTCTTATATCATCTTAACTTTTGAACATTAAGCTGCATACTTTCATTGATGAGAAAAGCGGTATAAATACATATTACAAGACTCAAATAAAAGGAAAGACCGAATAAAGGAAGAACATAAGTTCAGAAATAGACCACATAGGAAATACATAAATATGGAAATGGAAGCTAATAAAGAATAATAAAAACTCCAGTGTAAATAATATATCTAATGATTATAATGTAGCTCTCCTAATATTATGTTAACTCGCATTTCTGCAACATTAGACCCAAATGATGAGTTGAGGAAATTAGCTCAACCAAAGTGCAATCAAACAATTTTCAGTACTTAAGTCAATTTACACTACCTTGTTTTCCTCACTTACCAAAAGAGTTAAAATTGTTATGACATGTTTGGGATTAGCTTAATTTAAGCCGCAAACAAATAGGCCCAGTTCTTGCAATTAATATAAAAAAAAGAATAATTTTTTTCTAAAAGTTAATTTCGTTGCAATAAACATATCAGAAAAGAAAGAATTAATAAACAAACCGACCTCCCTTCCATAAATTGATTAAGCTGTTCTTGTAGATCGCAAGGGAAAGCTTCAATAGCCAACGATAGAGACCTCTGTTGCTCCGAGCACCGGCTAAAGAGATTCCTCACGATCTCCAGCTCCAAAATCCTATCATCACGGTCCGGAACCTGCTCGGCCTCACCAAGATACACAATCCGAGCAGCCAAAAGCCTCTCCCAAACCTTCTTCCTGTCCTTTCCAACCGCCTGTGGCTCCCCAATCACCGTTGCATCATAAACCCTAGACATAGCCGAACCATCTCCCTCTTCCGTCTTATCCTTCTCTTTTTCCTTCTCCATCTTCTCTTCAACTACCGCGTCAACGCTGGCGGGGGAATTTGGGACCTGCTCCTCGGCCTTTGCAGTAGCGAGGGAGCTAAGCAATCCGGATGCCGTAACAATAATGGGCACAAGCACGAACTCACGCCTACGTCCAGAAATTCTCTGGCTAGGTTCCGGTGAGGTATCAGCATTTCCGGTGAGATCGCAGCTGATGCCAGCGTAGTTAAACCTCGAGCGACGGCGAGCCGGAGAGAATTGGTACAATGGGGAGTCAATTTCCGGCTGACAAAGAGGGCGGCTCGTGGTACCTAGGCGGCCCAGCTGTCTAAAATCGCAGATGTTATGAGCGAGGGATATCATCTCCCGCCGTGGCGGAAGCGGAGAGAATTATACGGATAAAGAAGCCGAGTTGCTGTCTTCAAAGCGAGAGCTCATAGAAGCTTTCAGTGTATACTATTCAAAGAAAACAAAAAAATAACTCTTTTTTTAAATTCTTACGATTCTTTTTACATGTAAAAAATCATAAAAAGTAACAAAAAAATGATATAGCCAAACTTAATTATTTTGATATCTTCGAAAACAAAATTACGATAAAAAAAAACTTCAAAAAACTTATTTGGATAATCTTTCAAACTAAAACTTGCATAGTTATTATATATATATAT